ATTATTTCTACTTTGGCATCTTTAACCATTAAATAGTAGACGCAAATAGTCAAATGTTGACAGCATTTGTTGCACTACATTCCAGTTGCTTTTAATGCTGAGTAAGAATCTAGTTAATTACGTCAGAGGAAAAGCTATTATGGAAATGATATTAATTGAAATTAATAATAAAAATGTTTTCTATTATTGGTTTATGAAAATCTACAAAGAGCATTAGCAATACTAAAATTTTCTAATCAACAGATTTGTAGTGTGCAGAAGTGGTTGTAAGTCCCGGTGAATACAAAAAAAGAAATGGAATGGCTAAATACGTTGCCGTTAAAATCTAAGTTTATCAGTGTGGAACTGATGTATGTGTGTCACTTTACCTCAGTAGTAAGAATACGATTTATTTAGACCATGTTATTCTGCCGAAAGCCTGCACAGCTGTAAAGATGCTAACATTCAATCAACAGTGTTAGTGTCTCCAGAATGAACGATTCTAAAGAAAATATCTCAGTACAACAGAATGTTTACTCATATTAGAACAGATAATGAAATATAATAAACTACTGTTTAAGAAGAATGTACACATCTAATAAGACTTTTCTTTGTTCTGCTGCTTGAACCGGCAGATAAGACTTGTAGATCCTTATTCAGTATTGCTAATCGTTAAATGTAACTTTCATGAAGCTAAAATACAGATTTTAATATATATATATATACCGACAGGAATACAGTGGGTAATGGTCTGCAAGCTCGCCTTGTAACCAGGAGATCCTGGGTTCGAACCCCGGTGGGTGCGTACTGATGAAGAGTCTCAAACTAGGACGAAACAGTTGTCCAGAACTCCCAGGTTTTCCAATGGTTCTCTAACCAATGCCAACTCATAATGAAATCCTGTAACCAATCAGTCGAATCCCTACAAACCAATACTTGAACAAATAAGGCCTCCAAAACAAGAACTTTTAGTTTAGCATTTTTTTGATTTATGCCGCAAACAAGCTTGTAAAAAACTTGTCTCTTATGTTTATGTTTTTTTATGTAATGGGAATTTCGAAAACTTTTCATCATTGTAAATAAAAGTGTAATTCTACCTTTTCGTTTTTAACTAATCATATGAACATTCTGAAAACAGATCAAATTTCTTCTTGTTGCTTTTTTGAAGAGTTTATGTACTCGTTATCCTACTAGATCAACTGTGTAGAAATAATATAATCGTCTGAAAACATTCAATGAAACTAGAATCTTGCGCTTACATGTGTGCTTCAACAGTTTCTAATAAAAAAGTTTTGTTTTTCTCTCATTCGCCTTTAAGCCATGTAATCAACCAATAATGAGGTATTTCTGTAATTATCAACCTAGAACTCCAGTTAACATTTCGACTATTAGAAAGACTAGATTGTTGACTGCTGATTCTTGAGAAGAAAGTAATTAAGTTGACGTTGAGTTCAGCAACAGAAATTCATATGATAATTTTGCTTATAACTGTAAGTAAGCCAAATAAAATATGACAAGACTTAACTCATTTTGAAAGTGGTACATTGTAAACGATATGAAATTAAAAGTGTTGAGACAATTTGCTTCAAACAGCATACACGTAATTCCCTTGGGACATTTCAAAGAAGCAGTAAGAACTGGATTGTCAGCATAAAATGATGTCATTCTGTATCACAGGTCCTCATCAGCTGCAGGCTATTCAAGAAGTACAGGGGTTGTAAATTAATAAGAATAACATATTCCAGTATTCAGAAGATGATAGAGAAAATGTTACCCATTAAGATAGTGAAAATGTAAGCGTCATAATATTTTTAGTTAAGATTATCAGTTTATATGCATTTCAATGCAGAAATGGCTCAGTTTATAACATTTTCTAAGTCCCAACATTGATGTGTGTTATTTCCATCCTGTTATAACCATTGTAATTTCAAATAGTCTGTTGCTGATAAGAATTTGCGAAATAAGGTGTCAGTGTTTTATCATGCAAATTTGATATGTCTTCTTTTCTTGAAAGTTTTATATGATTAGTGTACCATGTTTAGTTCCCCCAATGGCCTTCAATAGGGAAGTTAGACAGCGCAAATTCTGCCTTACTCGACAATCAATCAACATATTCTTGGACTGTATACTTGCCTATAAAGCTAAACAACATATCTGGTTGCGGTCTTTTCAGAAATAGTCGATTTCAACCGCCTAGACATATCGACGATAAGAAATTTCACTAAGAGAATAGCAATGGTGTCTTTCGAAAGTATTTGAACACTTTGAGTTGGCTAGCGATTACAGATTTGCGTTTTTTTCTTTCATTCGGAAACACAAAACTTTTATAATGATGAGTAATTTAACACTGTTCATACTTGTAATTTAGGGTTATAAGTTATGGGTGCTAAGTTTGAATCTCAGTGAGAATTACTATCACTCACTAAAGAGCTGGTACATCCAACTGGGAAATCCCAAATAGGATAAAAGCACGTCGTGGTTTCCATTGCTAGACAGAACCAGAATATTGTAATACTGTCTTTAAAAGAAGAGGTTTTTGGAATATTTAGTCAAAATAGTTGGAGAAACAAGTTTGATTTAAGCCAGAATACAGCATTTAATATGCAGTGGGAGGGCATCATGTATTATGCATAAATAAAGTTTTACTGGAAAAAATGAATTAACTGGAATAAGTAATAACAAATTCACTCCAGTGAATAAAAATCATTAGATGTACCATAATAACATAAAAAATATCATGATATAAATCTAGTTGTCAGGGTAGATCAAAGGTTGCAGTAACTGAAAAAATTGAGTTTTCTATTTGTCGAACAGGGACGACAACATAATGTGAAGAATGCAACTAATGTTTTCTAGAAGAAGATAAAATCAGTCTACCTGCAGGCAAAGCTGTGGGCTAGACTTCAGTTTATGACAACTTCAGGATCATGCGGGCTGAAAAATTGCCCTGTTCCAAAGTGATCATTTATCCTACAAATTCTCGTGGTTAGATTGATTAGAAAAACTTGATGCAAGAAGTCAATTGGCTATTTAACTGTACTGTGCAATCTTTAGCGGAGGTGATATTCAAACGCATGTTTAAGTGACACTTCGGAATTCTTTGAACTGAGAGGAAAATTCTATGTTAATTTGACTTCATATTTTAAAAGTTCTTCAGCTGTCATTGATGAATCGTCATGCACTTTTTCACTCCTAACTTTATAATTCATCAAAATAATAAAAACGAACACCTAGTGTTTATAGCACAGTAAAAAGAGTGATTTGGACGCAAACGAAGGATAAGCTAGATAGTTTTACCACATCTATGTGCATTTATCAGTTCAAATGCACCTGCGGTGAAAGTTATGTTGGACGTACTACTAGACAGCTTCAGCCGACGTGTTAGTGAACATCTCCCATCGTGGTTTGGCAAAGGACAGACAAAAACAATCTGTAGCTCAATTTCGTCACATCTAGTTGATAGTGGTCATGTAGTGGAGAAAACGAGAGCTTTCAAAGTAATTCATCGTATCCCACCGGATCTTTGTAATAGACTTCGTATTCGTCTACTGCACACAGCTGAGGCGATAGGCATTCGAACTATTAAACCGAAACTATGCATTCATAAGATGTTCGTACAGCCATTATCTCTCCCTTGCTCTATTAAGACATAACCAACTGATGGCTTTTCCACCACACTTTACTTATATTTTCAATCCCTCTCTAATTATCCCTTAATCTTATCACATCTTCAGTAGAAACGTGTTTCATTTACTTCTCTTACAATCTATCGTTACGCAATCGGTTCATTTGTGTTTCTTAGCCTTTATCGACTAATTCTACCTGAAGGTTTGTTTATTTAATCATGCTGTTTTTCGTTATTCGTGTTATCACAGATCGCCTCACTTTTTCATCCTTGTCACTGGTCGAACCATTATTAATATTACTACTATTATGAATAATTACACAATTTATATTCACCATCTTATCCTATAGACAAAACACCATGATTGGTTTATATTTCAATTTTTATTTGTAAAGTTAGAGTTAAGCCAGATGAGATAGAATTGAAAACAGTATTGTTCGCTTAAATGTGCTGTTCTAAATTTTACTATGGGAATATTTAATATAGTGAAAAAGGAAAAAAATTGAGAAGCTTTTTGAAACTGATTTTCAATATGTTAGGCTAGCGAATGCCCAAACTTTTCACCGAATATCACTTGTTTTTCTGTTTGAAATTTTCGATCATTATCAACATGATAGGATGTATTTTAGTGTATTACTAATTATTTAAGCATTTTAATTTTCACTCTTTGTTCTATATATATTTGATGAGTACATCTGGAACTATCTACCTCAATCTTACACTGAACTCCATTTTCTGACTAATTCATGACATGAGTAGAAAAACTGAATTTAAGAACACGCCTCCAAATTCGAATTTTGCGACTAAATATAATTTTCTGAAATTCATCTTACTGGCTGCAGAACTCACTCACTAGAACACAAAAAATACACTGATGGGATATTCAAGTGACATTACACTGTAGAGAGACACTTGAGCCATATCCTAAAGGGAAGTAGCGAAGTGAACATCAGTCTGGGGTTGATAAATAAGAGATCATATGATGAAGAAACGAAAGTTTGTGAACAATTGTGCAGCTAGTTGAAAGCAATGAAAGAGAACCGACTGCTATGCAAATGTGCTGATAGAGTTCATTTTTTGCTCTGAACTGAAGGAGTGAGAAGCAATAGATCGTCACAGCTCCAGACAAGGGCTTCAGTACATAGTTTTGAAAAGGCTCAAAATATGGTGTTTTTGTGGAATTCTACTCGTTTGTAAAAGGATTTCGAATGTGAAAACACCCTTGCGATGAACATGTTTATATTAAATGACTTAGTTCTTTCAATAAATGTTTAAATGAATTCAATTTATATTTGATTGATTGATAAGCTTATGTAAAGGGATGTTATTTTATTCTATAGGTGTCATATTTCTTTTATCTGTCATTCACTTAATTCGTCTGAATTTTAATTTTTAGACTTTGAATACAGTGATCAAGCAAAAGTGCTCAAATACTTCAGATGCCTTTTACTATCGCCATCATTATAATCAGTCATATTGGCGACAACAGAAATGTCGACTGTCTAATAAACTACAATGTAAAAATAATGAAAGTGCTCTGTGTTTTTCTTGTTCTCATTTGTCATACAATTGTGATAAATTAAATTTATCATCTGTCAGACAAAGAATGAATTCTACAATAACATTAGGTGTAAATAAAAAGGAATATTCCCATCACTTACCTGATTTTGGAAATGCTATTCAGCCTCTCACTTATGTTACATCATCTATACAGAAGAGAGAAAACAGCATACTCAACCAGGAATTGTTATTGAATGCAACAGACCAGATTTATCTGTGCTCCTTAGTAACTGACCTATTCAGAGAATATGAGCATAAAAGTGAGTTTGTTTTAATGTCAATATAAGTGTAACATTTATGTAAAATTTAGATATATAGTGCTTCTATTAGGATGAATTACCATGCGAGTGATAAACCTGGTAGAGTTTTCTTTTTGGATATCATAAGCTTCTTGGAAATTTGCTTGGTAATATGCGTGTCCTGCTAAGTAGAAGTGGATATCCGAATAATTTTGTTGACAAACACACGAACTCAAAAAGTAAAATGTCTCAGGTGCCGACTGTTCCCAAAAAATCAGTCTTCCTTAGGTCACAATTCACTGGTGATGTTAATAGTGAGATCTTATCACAACGGCTGAGAAGGGTCTTCAAAAAGACTTTCAGCTCAGCTGAGTTATGCTGTATATTCACTAGCCAACCAATAATTAGTTCAAGAAATAAAGGCAAACTGCAATGTTTCGTCTCTTCCATGTGTATTTATCAGTTTAACTGCTCGTGCGGAGCTAGTTACACTGGGCGTACAGTAAGGCAAGTTCAATGTCGAATTTCTGAACATCTCCCATCTTGGCCTGACAAAGGTTCAAATAAAGCTATGCGTAGCTCAATACTAGCTCGTGTCCTAGATACTGGTATACTACTCAACCTTTCGTATTGTCTAGGAGTGCGACTTTTACATGCAGCAGAGGTAATCAAATTTCCATTATAGATAACATTTATTTTGATAAAGTCTCACAGTGCTATACAGTAATATTAACTGATGATGTTTCATATCAAGGTGATGTGATTATGAGCTATATATTGTACTCAAAACGTCATCAGTGAATATTACTGTATAACAATGTGAGACTTTATCGAAATAAATTTTACCCACCATGGAATTATACTTTACCACAGTGCACAAGTTATATTCTTATAGCAATCGGAATTCATCTGAACAAGTCGAATCCGTGTGTTCAAAAGAAATTTGTACAACCAGTTTCTTTGCTATGGCCAACTGCATAATATGCGTTAAGTTTCTAAAAACGAGTTTTTCCCCTCCCCTAATAATTAATTACCTTCTGACTTTGTTAATTTCTACAAATTTTACAATTCTAGCTAATTCTGTTGACTTGTTTGTATTTTACGTAAATCTTCTGAGTCATCCCATTCTCCTTAATCATAATTATTTTAAAATTGTCTTGATTATTTAATATATTATTGCTAACGCCTAGAAATTAACTTATCTTGAGTTCCTTAATTAATTTTCACCCCACCTTCAAAACTTAGATATCTTGTTACTAACATCTATTAGTTGACTGTTTTATGACTTTTAACCTCTGAACTTCACCCATGTATACCTAAAACTAATTAACTAAAATAACCACTTGATTAGTAAAAATGTTGATGTAAAAAAATATATCTTAGTGTGAAGTCAGCCGATGGTGAGGAACTAATTGAAAAGGACTGCATATTTCTTGGTTCAATCTGTTGTTTTCTTTTTCTAAATTTGCATATTAATTCACGGTATGCAGTTTGCGCAGTTGGAGGTGGAATTCGATAAAAACATGTGATCTCCTTGATACCATTAATAGCAGTTAAGAAAGCTTGTATTAAATATTTACTATCCTACCGGTGGCCTGCTTAAATCACTAGGCTGCTCAAATTTCCATCCATCAAAATGCTTACACTCTTCCGCACTTCTTATTGTTTTAATCGTGCAATTATATCAAATGACCGGTATTTGAACTCACGCACATATTTAATTAGTTTCCAACTATACTCTATGCAATTTTCGAAGGAACTGAAGAGAAAATGTACAGAATTGATTCTCCGCTCACAAATAGCAACACTGCAACAAATGATGTACTTCAGATTATTGTTTTACATGTAGATTCTATATGAAGGGGAGATATTTTGGGACGAATTAAGCTGAAAATTTCCGTAGTGCATGTTCACATATTGTCTAAAATGAAACTTTACTATTATTTTTAGTTGCATGGGATTATATACTACTGGTTGAATAATGATAGTGGTCTCAAACTACCCTTATGAATCAGCCAGTAGTATATGACGTCATCATAAGCTTCAATTCAATCTTCTTACATATAAAATATACTTTCTTCTCAACAGAGCTTGTTGTATGAAACAGGATTTAGGATATTCCAAATCCTAAGAGTCGTACTGCTGAGAGCTTCAGACAGAAAGGTTTTCTCAATAAACAGTATTGTTATAGTTTACAGTTTCAAATTAACTGACGTGAAGGTTTATAATTTTTCTTAAAATTTAACATCTAAGCAATAATGTGAACTTTGGTGTTCTATGTTTCGTACTATTCAGAGGAGTTCTAAGTTGGGTTTATCACTCAATGCAAGTTACACTCAAACATATTTGTGTCATCATACACAGCCATGTGGTATCTTTCAAATTACCCTTATCACAATAGCACTTAATCACATCTAATAATCAGATAAATTGATCATTGACTGTGGAAGGATGAATATTTATTTCTTGTCAGTTAAATTTTTCACTTGCACAAGCAAGCGTCATTCAAGCCTAATTCATCCTTTAAATCCATGCATATATTATTGTTCTTTATTCACTCGTGAGTTCATTAATATTCATTGTATGAATTTTTATTAATTTCTGAAAAAAAAACAAATTCAATGATACACGTTCCCTGCTGTATTGCACACGTCGACAACAGATGGACACGAAGGTGGGCTAAAATAAAACAAGCAAAAAATGAATACCACTATACTTTTTTCCAATAAACAGCATATTTTATATTTAACCAACCCGTCTTTTACTAGACATTTGAATAATTCTGTCTCTTATTTTCTCCATACATGTTAATAAATAAGAATGAAAAGTGGAATACCGGCGACATCTATTCATTTTCTCATAGTTATTTTTATGCATTCATGTATATGCCAAAAAGCCATAAACAATCTCATACCATTGAGTCTACCTCTGGCTGATTACCTTCTACGTTTCATTTTCTCTGAGTTTGTTATTTTCTTTTTTTTGGTTAACAATGAAATATCGTCGTTAATCAGTCGGTTTTCATGTTTATGCCGACGTATAAAATAAAATAATGCAGAAATCAAATAATAGAGAGGGAAATAAAAGTAACATTATAAAAAAGACAGTAACTACTCTTCAGTGAGTCTTTAGCAGAAAGTTTCACTGCATTCACCAAGTGCTGCTTTACCCTGCTACTTTTTCGGATAAATATTTCTAACTGTTTACTGATTGTTTGAATTAGTAATAGTGACTTATTTGTCCATTATTATCATTAATATATACATACATATATATATCTACCGAATAGTGTTACTTAAGTATTTGTACATTTTTATAGTATGGTAATTGTCGCCGACTGTGCCTATGAAAGGATTTCATTAATTGAGGTCATTTAGTCTATTCAACCTGTAGTCGGTGATTTATTATCGGTTTAATGGGCCGTTATTGTTTAGTAAACAAAACTGACTTTTATTTATTTGTTTATTTATTTATCAGCTTTGAAACCTGATAACTAAAAAACAAATTTTGGGTTATTGTTTTAGGGATTTTGATTCATTACAGTGTAGATTTCATCATGATCCGAGATCAGTTATAGATATATTTAGCTTCGATTAACTTTCTATCTTATACCGGTTCATGACAGAATTTACTGTGTAATTGTTTTAACCCCTATAAATCCTGAAAACCTGAGAATTAGTCTGTCATTCACCAGCGGTTACAGTATAATTATACTGAGATTCTAAGGTGAGGAATGGACCTGTCAGATCTATTAATATGACCTGTGGAGTAAGTGCTAATCTGTAAACTGGTGGCGGTAGCACTATCTGACTAAATGACAGAATTTACTATTCACAGGTTATTCAACTGGTTGACCTTTGAACCCGGATATCCTGAATTCTACTTCATGGCAGGCTTGTGCGCGTATACTGTTGAATAGTTTCAAACTAGGATGAAGCAATTATCCAGTACTCCTTGATTTCTAGTTGTCCCTTAACTGATGTCAATTAGTGATAAATCGTTATTCGCTGCTATCTTATTATATGTGGCTGATAAATCGTGGTTCTCTTGTAATTAACATAATTCCCAGGGTTGCTGCTGACAGGGTTTATATATATAACTGTCTGGATAAGCAAAATATTGTTTGTGCCCAAATTAAGAAATCTAAATTGTGAAATTGATTGATTGACTTTATGAATATAACGAATTCATACTGCCTCTGAGTTGTTTATGAAATTTTACTAAAAGCATAAAATAACTTGACAATTGTCCTAACATTTCAATTATTCCAAGACAATCAACCTCGAAATAAGACAGTTAAGTGCAAAGTACGCCTCCTAGTGTCATTTCTTAACGTGTATTCACTATGAAGGCATTTGTTGAATGGTGACTAGCAGTGGAATTCAGGGCCACCTTCTGTACAGTGGGCACCAATTGTTATTTGTTTTTAGTTTGGTTTTGATTTTCCCAGTGACTGATTGAACTAACATGTTCGGCTTCTGTCGGCATTTTGGAGTGCAAGTACATCCAGATGACGAGACTCAAATTGGATGAAATACGTATCCTGGATTCCACTGCTAGTCACCATGCACCAATTAATACACCAAGTTAATTTTTAAACATCGTCTAATTGTCCATGCAAGGAGCCGACACGTCAAGAGATGCCGAACATTTTGACTCAGTCAATCAAAGTGGAACTTTTTGCACTATGTTTGACAGTAAGAGGTATCAGAAGATGACAGTCTTTTATAATGGTTTTTGATATAGAGATCAAAACGGAAGTTAATTTAAAATGCGTTTGTGGACTGTTAGCTTAATATTTCCAGGTATGGCTGTGTTAAACATGTCGAAGTGATTTGGGACAAATCTTCATCTGACGACTAAGGGTATAGTTATTATTCGTGACAGAAAGGCACATAAACGTATTGAAGTAGTTTCCATTCTGTTCATGAAGTGATGTCGTTTAAAGAATCATCGGAAAACCGAATATTTACGACTTTTCAGCAGTACTCACTCTTCGAAGCTCAAACCTAGGACCTTCCAATTACAACGCAATCTTGTTGACCATCCAGCCACAGGGACCCAATCCAACAGCCTGTGCGAATACATGGTTATAGTGCGACTACCAGCCAGTATCATCGGCGAGCATCTGTCCTCACATAAAGTTGATGATAACAAAGTTTATGAAACTAGGCTTCTCTTAACTGACAGTTATTAGCAGTGGAATCAAGGATGCATGTTCCATTTTAAGGAGACAGAGAGTTTCACTCCAATTTAATACATAATAATAGTAGCTTTATTTTGAAAAGATTCACTGATCCGTATTATAGAATTTTCAGCTTATATTTTGGCATATTTTTTTTGTCCTTCACGTTCCCCAGTGGAACATAGGGCTTCAAGCTAGAGCCTTGAAGTTTCAGTAGCAGTGTTTATTTTAAAGGATGCGGTTGCTAGCCTCATGCCCAACCTTTCCTCTTCATCAGCATTATTTCTGGCTTAGCGAGGTAAAGGAGTTCATCGGCCGAGGATCGAACCCCGGACCATGTGTATGGTCGGCAAGCGTCCTAACCGCTATGCCACTGACGCACTTTTTGCAAATTAGTAATCACTAATATATCATTTAAAGTAATATTGCTCAATCAAAAGCACGCTCTAGAAACCTAGTATGATTCCTCTCCATTGTCATTAAAAAAACTCATAGTGGTAAGGTTAGAGCCTAATTGGAAATAAGCATTAGTACAGATTACCGTTGAAGGATAACATGGAAAAGAGTGAATAAGATGAATTTTAATGGATTACATATTAGGCGACTCATTGATTTAATCGGGTCACTAAATAGAAAATACGAAATACCTAAAACAAAGTTTGACTGTAATATTGTTGAACTGGTGCTTTTTTCCATTGTAAGAATAATGTGTACTTTATCAAGAATATAAATGTGGATTTGCTGACTAAAGAAGAAGAAGGGGGACAGATTTATTCTGTACAATCTTCTTACACATAATACAGGTTTCCCAGTGTATTAAAATTGCAAAATATTTATTCTTTGCACAGGATCTTGTAAAATAGTACTCAACAACACATGATATGGTGTTATATTCTTCCCTCTGAAATAAGATTCAGTTTCCTACGACCCTATCCCTTCAGGGACTGTGCAGCATTACGTTGAAAGCTAATTAAAAATGTGCGTCAGTTCAAGTAGCGTCGGTGGCATAGCGGTTAGGACGCTCGCCGACCACGCACATGGTCCGGGGTTCGATCCCCGGCCGACGCACTCCTTTACCTCGCTAAGCCAGAAATAATGCTGGCTGGTGAAGAGGAAAGGTTGGGCATGAGGCTAGCAACCCCATCCTGTAAAAATAAACACTGCTACAGAAACTCCAAGGCTCTAGATTGGAGCCCTATATTCCACTGTGGAACGTGAAGGAATGAAAAATGTCAGTTCAAGTAACGACCTAAATATATAATTGGAGGTTGAAGGGTTTAGACCCTGAGATAGACGAAAATTTTGGTAGCCTAGCGTGGTTTTAACAGGCCACCAGAAAGTATAGGTTTCAGTCGTTTCCTAGCTAGTGTCGATTCTTTAGGAAAATTCAAATCGGAATAATTCATATACCCACCACACAAATTCGGCTAAATAACCTACATTTAAATATGAAAATGATCAGTTAGATGCATTAGATGCTATATCACCAACCTGTTTACTTACCTGCTTATGATTGATATGTTATTATCTCGCTAGATGAAATGATATGCTTTGAGAGTGTAGACAATAATTAGGATATTTATGGGATTAAAACTTTTACAATTTCATTGAAAACAAATAGATTGCTTTCATTTAATACTTGGGAAAATAAATAGACCTTTGAAAGACAGTACACAGAATAAGCTAGGGTACGTATATAAATGAATGTAAACATTTTCAACCACTGACTACTGAACGCATATCTCCAGACACTGTTAGGTGGGCAGTGTTAAATATTTTCGATAACTTCCACATCAGGTTCTACAGTTATATATCCATGTTAGTTAAAGAATGTTTTATATTGACAATATTAATTTTTCAGTCACAGCCGATTATCAAGATCAGAAATCTATGAAGAATATATGGGTAACCTGTCACTAAGCTACTAGCACATCCACCACTGTTAATATGGTATACTGTAGAATTTATAAATTCAAAATTTTCACATTACGTCATACCTTTTAGACATAAACTCCGGTTTTCGAGAGTTGACTTGTTTTATTTGAGTTTTACCACGGATTATTATCAGTTAAAGAATCATTGAAAACCATGGAGTACTGGACAGCTGTTTCATCCCTCTAGTTTGGGGATCCTCGACAATACGCGCCCACTTGATTTCAAACCCAAGACCTTCCGGTTACAAGGCAAGCTCGTAGATTATTCAGTCACTGGGACTTGGTTCGAAGGCCCATGAATTCTAAACTATGGTTTCCTCGCATACCTCATATTTATTTTTCAGTAACATCAGTCTGATTTATTCATTTTTGTGTATTTATGAATATACGCATAAAACTTTTATTTTCTTAGTTTAACCTTGGTTATTCCATTACACTCACAAACACAGACACATCAGCTTCTATCCTTATTTCTCTTCTTACGTTTTGATTCAATCATTTGTTCATAGGAAGTTAATAACGTAACGGAATAACGTTCGATTTCAGCTCTAATCATGTACACTCCCTGACATATATATCCACTGTTATTCCTGATCATTTACTTTGTTATTTTTTAAAATTCATTTTAATTTCAAGTTTCACTAGATGTGGTGTTTTTTTACGGTGTGAGGTTGCTAGGATAGTGCGCAACTTTCCCTATTTACTAAACTCACTACCGGATGGGCGACATTAAGGACTGTGTTGGTCAGGGTCCGAACCCATGGCTCTTTGCATGGCTGGTGAGTATTCTACCTTTGAACCACCAGCGCACATTTACTTTGATTTCTGATATTAAATTTAGTGTTATATATGCATATTGTTGCATATACACGTTTTGCACTGGTAACAATTTACTCTCACAAAACTCTGGAATTTATGATCCGAATAACTGACAGAAGAAGCATTAAAGATAGGATTTCAGGTGAACATAGAGAAAACAGAGGTGATGAAGTTTCCTGACCAGCGGCAACAACAACAACGGGCAATAATCAATCAGCATAAATGGGAGAAACCTGAAAGAAGCAACCTCCTTCACCTACCTACTTGGGAAACATCGTCGTTTCAACCAAAGTTGGGCAGAACTGATGAGGATATCAAGGCGAGGATTGGGATAGCAAGAAAAGCTTTCATTTCTCTCAAGTCTCTGTGGAGATCAGTAACGCTCAGCATGAAAGAAAAGTAAGATCCAGATTTTCAACTCCAATGTGAAGTCAGCGCTACTCACTATACGGATCAGAGACTTGGCGCGTCACGAAAGGCACTCCAAACAAACTACAAACATTCATCAACAGCTGTCTTCGCTCAATGCTACTCAAGATCAGATGGCCAGAAACAGATCAGTAACAGAGATCTCTGAGGACAAACCACCCAGGAACCGATTGTTCAACAAATATACAGGAAGAAATGGAGGTGGATTGGCCATACTCTGAGAAAACCATCAAGTGATATCACAAGACAGGCCATCGCTCGAGCAGAATACAAACGGGAAGTTGCGAGCTGCTCGTCAGTGCGAGGGTGACATGGAGGAGGTCATGTGTAGAGAAGATGAAAGCATGTGGGCAGACGTAGAGTCAGGTGAAAACGTTGGCAGAGAACCATACGCAATGGAGACATGCGGCTGAAGCCCTATGTTCCTCTAGGAACTAGAGGAAATTATATATATATATCATTGGATGTTATTAAGAAACATTATTTTGTTGTCGACACAAATTGTTACTCAACAGACGTACAATTATTAATGTAGAACTTGATGAGAGATATATATATCGAAAACAATAAACTTTGTTAACGAATAAATGTTTTGAAATTTACAATGTGTTTCTTCAGATAACTATAGTGTTCATCTATTTAAAGTGAATAATCCGTATAATAAGTGCTTCAGATTATTTCTGTAATAACTCTACTAGAAAAGTACCACTTTACATTATGATGTTTTCTTTACATTTGGTAGATGGCTCCTCAAGCACTGATAAAGAAGTATCCAGTGTGCAGCCAGTTCAAGAAGAATTGAAGTAAGTCCTAGAGAATTATATATTTTCATAAAATATATCATCCGAAATCACTGGAAGTAACAGTTTTTATTTTCACATTAAACTTCAATTCGACTAACAGATATGCTTCATAAGTGGAGTTGAATTACACAGATGGCTTTTCTAGTATGTCGAAACTCTCCTCTGGTGACTACCAGAACACCAATCAGAAAACAGGACCACTGACTAGAGTTCAAGCATTTTGACTGTTGTGTCAAACACCAACAAAATGCAGAACGCAAAGTTTTAATGAAAAACGTTCTTTCATGCCTTATTTAGCATCATTTTATTTATTGTATTATCACATTTCAGCATAATATTTTAACATCATAGAAAGGTCATTAATTCGAAAGTCTTGATGAACATGTAGAATCATGTATAAAGTGTTGTCTGTTATCTCATAAATACTTTGAAATTTCTATGGCACACAACTTTTAATTTCATTTTGGTGAAGAATTCGCACATAGAACCATGCTCTGGATGCATAACTCTGACAGAACAACCTGGATGCAGAAAAGGGCAATTGTGTATAGATTAAACCGAAGAGTTATGGATCATCAACAAACAGAGCATAGAATGACAGCCAACTCTCTATCTAAGCTACATCCACTATGAAAAGCGCTTAGATAACATCGTCTAGAAAGTGATTCACACACTACTTCAGCACTAAAAAGCACCCCGAACTTTTATCACCCTCATTCCACAGCTACATTTTTATGCTGCATGTCAAGTTATTTGTAGCTGAAAACTCAGTGAGAAGTAGGGAAAGGTGGCCTACTGTCATCAGTGATCTCACTGATCATTATGCACTGGATTATACAGCAGATTGCGGGGCATACCTTGAACCTACAAGAATACTCTAGAAGATCCGAACGTCGCGGATGATTTATGCTTGATGTCACATAAACCAGAACACCTACAGAAGAAAAACCAACAAGTTGGCGAAGGAGGCAGACAGTGAAGAGAGGACTTCAAGTGAAAACATGGAAGATCGATGTGATGGAGATTCCTAACCGGCAATAGGAATCAATTATCACGAACGAGAGAGATCTAAAAGAAGGAACCTCACCCACTCACATGACCAGGCAGCATTGTTTCAAATGCAAGCAGCACATATGAGGATTTCAGAACTACAAAATAGACCTTCAATAATCTGAGTCCATTTTGGAAATGTACTGCAACCAGAGGCAGGAATAAGATTCGAATACCCACAAATAATGTCAAGTTATTTCTTCTATATGGTTCAGAGAGTTGATGTGTTACCAAAGGCATTTCCAAGAGGCTGCAAACATTTATCAGCAACCACTTTCTCTTGATACTAAAGATCAGATGGCCGGCTAGAAAGGCTCAGCAACAAACTAACCGACGTGGGAGATATCGTGTAAAGAAGAAATGTTCGTTTCTGGTAATAGTAGAGGCAGCTTAAGTGAATTTCAGATAACCAAGTGGAATGGAGATCTGGCGTTGAAGCCCTCAATTACATTCGGAACACAAGGGAATGATAATAATTAAAATAAGAAAGTCCTGTTAAATAGCTTTATCCAGTCAGTATGATTTTTATCACAGAAAAATATATATTCCAATATGGGATTATATTCTCACTAAATAATTTAACCTCTGAACATCATAAATGTGCTTACATATTGTTGAGTAAAGCTTTTTTGTACATTTGAATACATGAGGCAGAGTATTCGTTGAACCATTCCCTTGTTCCGTCAATATCTCAACTAGACGAGAGCACTTTCCATAGTTCAATAAGTTAGATGACAATTATTCGGTTTAAAAATCACTCATTTACAATGAAACCAAGTCAGAATATATAAATTATATTTATAATTGACGTTAACATTGTGATCAACTTTTTCTAAAGCATAAATGATTTATATGCGTAATGTCTAGTCCATTCACTGGTTTGATGTATCATATAACTGGGTGGAAGTTCATAGTTTCGCACAAAGTCATAAAGTTGTTGTATAAATAAGAGCATTGTGCACCTACATTTATATGCGTGTAACGTTTCACACCTTTTACTACTGAAATAAATTCTCTCCGTTTTATTCTCAACCCCCCACGACAGATGGTATATCTGTAAGGAATTTGTATGAATTACTAACAGCATGTATTGACTGACAAAAGAAGGAAATTGTTTTCAACTATTTTATCATTCTTATGACTAACATTCATGTTAATCTACCAAATAATTATACTTCATAAGCATAGTGATAATAATGATAATAAAATGTGTTAGATCGTAAACAGTGTTTACTTTTCTAGGTTTTATGTGTTTATTTAGTTTCAATGTTTGTCTGAAGAATTTTCATGGAAAATTTCCATGTTGGTGAGAATTTTTGTTTTTACTGCAGCAGTATACCATTTTAGGCATCGAGTGTTGACGTGTTTGCAAGAATATTAAAAAGGACACTATTTACTGCTTATATTTTCTATAAATATATGTATCAGTACTCTTGATTTTATCTTAACATGTTACAAGTTAAGATTTTCCACTTTATGGAAAGAATTTATGTGTGTAAAACTTGAATTCTCCTGTAAATTAGGAGAAACCATTAAGATTGTTTTCTGTACACTTTAAAATTAGCTTGATAGAAAAGATTTACGATTAATTATTATTACTCCCATGGGTTCCGAGTAGAACATAAGGCTTCAACGTTGCCTTTTCATTTCACTCAGTTCTTTGCAGTCCTTTATAGCTAGACCTGCGATTGCCCATAAGGTTTTATCTCGTCCTCATATGATCATGTATATGTCACTCTCAGATGCTCAACTCTCTGTTTCCTATTCGTATCTCACTCGAGAGTCTAACGCGTGATATCACCCATTGGCTTCCTCAGTGTGTGCCTACGCCATATCTGCTTCCTTCAGGATATTTATGGAAAAATAGATTTTTGGTTAGTTCGTTCCAACGGTTTCATGTTGGATATCCTTGCTGGTTATCTGATCTTCGACATGGAGTCAACGATGGTAGCCGTTGATGAAAGTCTGCAGTAACCTGTTGGAGGTGCTTTTAGTTGCTCACCAAGTCTATGAACCATATATAAGCACTGGTTTGATGATGGTGCTGAAAATGTGACTTATTAAAGGTTTAAATTATCTCACCAGTACACACCTTCATGTTGTTTGCTAAAAGCTCGGGTACTCAGCATTTAGTATGATGATTTGAATGTTCAGCTTATATTAATCTATAAAACTTTTAAAAAAACATAGAAATTCTAAGATTATTAGCTGTGTTTTGTTCTAAAGTGACTATCAAGGTAAATTCATTACTTCAATAAAGAATTAAATATTAATTTCCACTTTGTCTTTCTTGTTCAGAGTAGCACAATACAGTCTAAAATAAATTCACGGAGTTCAAATCAGGTAGCGATTTCCAATGTGCACAGTTTGTGGGTTGAAATCTTCACCATAGTTTCCTCTGGAAAACAAATTATTCAGATCACGGTCTGTGAACTGCTTGATACCATAAATGGTTATCAAGAAAGCAGTCATATTCATGTAAAAGTATATACCACTGATTGAGTGTATATCACTTATATCACCCACTAGGGTTTACTGGCTAGATAGTGGTAATCTGAGCACTGTGATCTAATTAATTTGCTTTCCGAAGAAAAATGTGGTGAAAACTTCACCTCCCTAACTGTGTGCATTGCAAATCACTAATTAAATTGCAAACTGTACAGTCGATTTATGGTGTCACCGATTCGCTGAAGGAGATGGTCAGTTATCGGGTGGTTTGGACAGACTCGGCCGTAGGAGTTGAATTGAAACTGGGTACACAAACTCCGGTGTTTAAATCAAGTGCTACTAGTTGATCTGAGTGGTGTACAACTACTCAACTTAGTTGAACATTAGTATGCAGTTTCACAATACAATCTCTCTCTCACTTAAATTTCAGCATAATACATAGTGATACAAAACTCAGTATCGAATAGCCAGCTGTTATTACTCAGAATTGTGACCAGTAGTTTCTGAGATGATCTTGGAGATGACCAGAAGTCTATTTTAATGCTGACAGTTGCAAAATCTTTCATCTGATCATACACTGATGCGATCCCACTATCATTTGATACAGATATTGCTGTAAACATGGGCTTCTTGTTGTTGAGAATTTCTATAATAGCTCTGGGTTAACAGTGTTCAAACCTACGAATCAATGCTCTTTTGCTGTACCAACTGAGCCATAACAGACAGCTCTTATCCAGGTCATTACTTCATTGCATTTTCTAGCTCAGATATTAAAGTTCTAAGGAAAGCTAAATAATCAAATATTATGATCATTTAACGACAGAATACATACATCACGCTGAGCAGCTCGTAAATTTCAATGGTTTGGTGACAGTCACAGTGTTTTACACTAGCGATCAGATATATCAATGGCTTTCGCTTTGTTGCTATTCCTTAAGTAACAGTATTATTTCAAAAAGCTTATCCAAACACTTGGACAAGCAAATTATTATCCAAAAAAAATAATTTACATTCTTCACTTTTGTTCAGGGCGTGAATTTTCGGCGTGACCCAGTGAAATTTGTGATCAAAAAGGTCGTTATTACCACAATACTCTTATTTTTCTTACAAGTGAAGTAATTTCAGCAAAAGCTGGGATTCAGAACAAATTAATGTAAACTTTGAACTAATGTCACGCCTTGGTGAAGTTAATAAACATAATGTCACAAAACTTCTGAGACAATAACCAAATACTAACGTTTAAAATGTATCAGACAAATGTATGCATACATGTAGATTCATAAAAAGAATGGATACTTAACAAAATCCAGAAAGGAAACTTCACTGAAGCACAGTGATTAGCATTTATTATAGTACCACATCATAAGGTGCGAAAACTACATGCATGTCAAATTCTAGGAGGCTAAAAAGACTACAAATGAATAACTGATTAGTTAATACAAGAATGACAAAGTTAATCAGACAGCAACTAAAGTAAGACTGAGTTAAAAAACTAGATGACG